CAGGCTCCAGCAATATCAACGCCAGTGATTTCTGCATTTTTCCTTCCTTTCATGATCAAGTTCACACTCCCGAGACAGCAAATTGCCACCTCCATAATCTCCATCTTTCACTCCTCCTGAATGTGACTCTTATGCCCTTGATTTCTTCTTGGGTCTTTACAATTGAACGGAAGATGGCCCTTCTGCCTGTCTGGAACTCAAAGTGAACAATTTCCAGGATGTCTTCAGGATGATTCCATTGATGCAATCACTTCTATCCTGATCTTGCCAAGTCCTTTCTATGTGGTAAAAAATAGGCTTTTGTTTTCCTTTGAGAGTAAACAGAATGCTAAGATGTGTAAGAGAGCACAGTTGGCTACAGCTAGGAAATGTATGTGAGGTGCAAGCTGATGGCATGTGCTTTAAAGGAACTGTGGCATTTTATGAAAGGGAGAACAAATGCTTTGGGAGTGCCAACAGGAAGCAAAGAAGGCACCAACATCACTGTTAGATTCAGTTATAAACTGAAAAATAGGAGGAAAAAAACCCAGCCCTGACTTTGAGATGCTGCTAGAAAATCAGAGTTCTTAGGCAGTAACCAGCTGACAATTAGACAAGGTGCTGATATGAACATTCTGCCTGAGAAACAGAAATGATTTTGCTAAGTGTATTCCTGGGGAGGATAATGGAAATGGTATAATACTGTAAGATGTCAAGACATGTTGGTGTTGGATGGGATTATAAATCATACACATCTACTTGAAGGTGGACGAACTGGGAGGTTTGAGGACCTGATGATGACAGGGATGCAGGCCATGATGGGATTGACCTTGATTATGTCCTAAGGCTGTTTTTGTGATGATATAATTAACAAGTATTTTCATATTTAAATATGTACATGGATATATGCAGGAGGCTTATGTTTGACTCCTAGCCACTGCACCTCATGCATAGCTACCACCCATCTGTCAGAGAACAGTGTGGTTTGCATGATGCTAAACAGTTTCAACAGGACTTCCAGACTAACACTAACTAGAAGAAAGGCAATACCTAGGTCTAAAAATCACCTAATGAAATCTCTTTACGTATCTCACAAAATTTTGGTGTTTGTGGGGACAATAAAGGACAGGGGAGTATAGAATTCTGTTATGCATGAGGTCTCCATGAGTCAGGGACTCCCTTGATGGCTGTTGATGCCACAATGACTGGAAATACAAAATAAATCTGGATGAATTTTTTCATCATGTTTCTTATGGTTGAGACACAGAGCAAATAATTAACATAGAACTAAAATAAGGGGAATAATTCTTTGAAAATGAAGTTGTGAATTGTCATAAATATCTATATAGTTGTTACCTTTTATTTCACACTTCTAGATGATATTTCCAACTCTAGTGGATTCTAATGTTGCATCTCATTACTTATGGCCAAAGGAATGTAAGTGGAAGTTATGCACACCTCTTCTATAAATGTTTCTTCAAATATCGTAATATATGCCTCCACATTTCTCTTCATTTACTGCTGGCCTGATGGGGAGGACTCTAATTTCCCCAGGGATGAAAGAAGCCGATGTGCCTTATATCAGGACAGAGTCTGGCAGGCGATTTGAAGGATCCTCCAAAACTGTAAACTGGCCAGGCCAAATGAAACCAAGACGGAACAACTAGGCTCAGGAAGTGAAACCTTGCGTTCTGGTGCACAGAGCACTGCAAGAGACTGACAAACAGTTTTTGGAACAGCTTGCAACACCTGCCGCCTTGGCGGATGGTTTCCCCACCCCCAGGCACCTTTTTAAAAACCCTACACCTTGACCACCGGGCGCAACTTCCCCAACCTTCCTTGCTAGGTCACGGAACCTCGCCCAGGAGCTCTTTCACTACAATAAAGCTGTCCTTGAATGTACTTTGCTTCAATCCGACTCTGGTCTCACTCCATGCCTCGGTTTACCTTACACCTTAATGACTGTTAGAAGCAGAGAGTGCCATAGACTCCATGGACTATATTTTGAGCGGCAAATATACTTACTGCGTTGGGTCACGTAAATGTTGACATTAAGACACAGTTAGCTTACCCTGACTAATTGGATGTGAGTAAAAGACACATAAAATCCCTTTGCTATGTAGGAAATTGATTGGCAGAATCACTTCTCTCACACAGAACTTTTCATTGTGAGGTCAGTGGTTCAAGCCTAGCAGTCATTTGGTGGGAGAATGATGAGGCTGTCTGCCTCCATAAAGATGTAAAAGTCTTGGAAACCTCAAGAGTCAGTTCTTCTCTGTCCTATAGGGTCATTATGAGTTGGAACCAACTCAAAGTCAGTGAGTTTCCTTCACATATACACATATATAAATATCACTGGATTTGCTCCTCTAGATCACCCAGTCTAACACAAAACTCAAGGAAAAGAGATTAGTTTTGAATCAGTTGGGAAAACATGGTATTACATTGTGGTCACATAAATTTATATTAATATGGTAGATTTGAAAGAAATCTAGGTCTTGATTTACAAAATCCATAGAATATTTTTGATCCAATGATGGTTGAATCCACAATGAAGAACTCATGGATACAGATGACAGACTGTATTATTACTCGGATGAAATTTTCTTCCCATTACAGATAGATTCCTTTGTTACTAGAATCAGAAGTTCACTTCATACTATCCTTACTACCTATAAATGTATCTGGCCCAGAAAACTTAGTTATTTCATAAATGTAAAGAAATTGCCTGATTTCTCATTTTTAATTTATGTGTATATTGAAAATTGCTGTACATGAACTGCAAAGGTTACTTGTATTTGTATAGCAATTAGATTGAAAATTACTATACATGAAGGGCACAGGTTACTTGTATTTGTATAGCTATATGAGGATATTTGATGTTGCTAAAAAAGTTTATGTTGTACACTAGATTTGTTGTTCAAAATTTACGTTGTACCTAGGCTCCCCAAATTCCTTGCTATTCTGAACTACTATTCCAAGATATAGAAAAACTCTTTCTGGTTAATTTATAATTAATTTTTATGGATAAGGTGAACATTTCAAAATATGTTCACTTGGAATGTGACATGAGACAAAACAACTCAAGTTTCTATATTTTTCATAAGTAGTTTTCAATTCTTCCACCACCCCAGGCAACTTGCTTTTATTGATTAAAATCTATGTTAAATTTTATTAAATATCTGTATATAAAACAAATGGAATAAAAATATTCTGTGCATTAAGCAAACTGAATAAAAGGCAGTGGGTATATACAGAATTGTCTAAGATCCACTCTAGATATTATAATGATTATTCTTGTTTTAAACTATATCATAAAGTTTTAATTTTATCTTACATAGTATTGAGTTCACCCATTTGTGGGAAACAGAACCGAGAAGGGAGTGTATGTGGACAAACTCTCAACACTCATAAGTTAAGGAGTCTGGGAGGCCAAGGATACCATGGAAATGCTTCCCACTCACATACTTCAAAGTAAAAGTTATTCCTCATGACGTCCCCCATAATAATGCCAAATTTAAGGTGATGTTTGCAAACACGTGGTCACTGACTATACACTTGGAGGTCACTTGCTTGTAGGTTATCTACCTCAAGGTTGTCAGCCATCTAAGGTAATCATACCGTGTGTCCCACCTTAAGTAGGACCCACTCCTTTCTGATAAGGATAATGGCTTTTTCCCCTGAAGGAGAGCTCTAAGACACCTAAGGTCAAGCCAATTCATGGACGACCAACATTAGGCTGCCATCTTGAGTCTAGAGTCCACCATCTTGTTATGTGTATGCCTTCCTGTCACATGTGTGCCCCTAGTATTTTCCCTTCCTATTGCATGTATACGCCTATCTCATCCCCCAGCCCCAGGTTACATGTAAGCCTATTGTAAAGCCCCTTCCGGTTACATATGTACCTACTGTGGCCTGCGTGCCCCAGATGATATAAGCTCGTGAGATAACATTACTTGCTCTCTCTGCTTGGATCTTTCTCTGGAAGTCAGGACTGAGAGGTGAGCCCTTTCATGATTTATCTTGTGTGATGTCTCGTTAATTTACCCCTCAATTACACAACTGCCCCTTAGACCCATTCAGTTTGGGGAAGGTTGGTCCGCCACACCCGATAAATCCTCATACACTTCCTTTCTATGGTCTTTTTTATCCTACAAATAAAACTTTTGTTTCTAAGTAATTCACCCACCTACCCATTGTTCCCACCACCATGGTTCAGGATCTGAAGCTCTAGCATCAAAAAATTACCTAAATGTTTATAAATTTAGTTATGGTATCCTTTAAGCTTTTCCTTAAAGAAAATAAAGAAATAAGTGGTTTTGCATACCATTTATTTAAGACAATTTTCCTGTAATACTGCTTCCCCTCCCAGCCAATACATTAACCTTAAATATAAGTTCTCTGAAAGCTAGAATTCTTAAATGGGCCTATAATTTAAGGCCCACCACACTCTGTCCCTAATTTACCTTTGCTGCTTCCCTTTCACCTACTTCAACCTCCATGTATGAATTATCTACAGACTATTTATGCAACTTGGGTCTAGCTTGCATTCCATCACATGACTACTCCAATTATTCTTATAAACACTGCCCTCCTTCACCCTCATTAGGTCTTTGTCCAAATCCTACTATTCTTTTAGACTCAGCAGACCCACTCAACTCATATACCCTTCCTTAACACCAATGTACCATCAGGAAGTAATGTAAACCCACTGCCACAAACCAGCAACAGCATTCCATCCCCATACCACTGAGAGCAAATGCAAAGGACCTAACACTTTGCCTCCCATTGGTGAATCTAAGCACTACCTGGGAAAGGCCTGTGTGTTCCTAAAGGTTACAATAACTGCTTACTAAAAATATTAATCTGTTTAAAAGTCATAGAAACTGCGTTCATGCAACAGAACATTTCCCCCCATGGCTTCCAAAATTCCATCTCTTTCTGCTGCTATAGGCATAGGTGGCTTACTCCATTCTGTCTTCTTGAACTATGGCAGAAGTCTATAATATTCCGCAATATTTTTATTTCAAGAAATAAGTAGAACATCTTTCAGTGCCATAGTTATTTTCAGCCATACACCTGGTTGACGAATCAGATTCTTTTAATACGTAAAATAGGTATCATTTACAAGTTGGAATGAGAACGACAAGCAAGGGTTTATGTCAGGATCTCTCAGTCTCTGTCTGAACTACCATGGGCATGCTAGTAGTCATCTTATTGTGGATGAGGCTTATAGCATGATTTTATTCACATTTCATTTCCGTTTCCTTCTGAATTCTAAATATAAGTCAATCTTAATCTGGTTTCTGAGTTTAGGATGAGTTAACGCAGACACAGCTCCATCCAGGACCAGGTGTTTGCCAGCGCCAAACACATCAGTGGCTCAGCAGCAGAACCTTAAGTAGCAGAAGCTCAAACCCTAGGTTTCTGTCCCTGGCCGCAGTGACCACTAGACCAAATTGGCGCTTGTCACTGTTAAGACTGACAGCTGCATGGGGCCCGGTAAGGCAGGGGAGGAGATAGGCACCCCTTGTGCCGCCTCCTGCCAGTGGCCCTGCCCCTTTTCCCCCTTACCTCACCCCCAGCCCTAACCCCCACCCCACAATCCTGTTTTGAGGGCTTGATGGAGATACCAATTTTACTATTAAATGAGGCTAACATTATTTTGGGAATGGATTTTGCAACAAATTTACATAACCACTGTAATGGTTGCATTATTTGACATCTTAATTTTAAGTTCTTTGATTGTTATTTTGATTTAAGATCCCTCTGATATAGCTGACATCACGAGCTCATTTTAAATATATATATATATTCTAGTTTTATTTATTTGTACAATGAATTGAGATAAGATTCGATAGTCGCAATGGTACACAGATGTGAGAAGAATCTGTGTGGGTATTGCTCTTACAGTTGAGAAAACAATGGCGTATCTTGTGGAGATGGCCATTAAGGAACATTTAGGAGCATTCGGTCTTTACTTTCCCAAGGTAGCCCTCCATGATGAAGCACACATCCTAAATTCTGTTTGATTTTTTTTTAAACATTTTATAAGGGGCTCATACAACTGTTATCGCAATCCATACACACATCAATTGTGTAAAGCGCATTTGTATCTGACTTTTAAAGTGAAAGAAAACTGTCCTGGTATGTAATACATACAAAAAGATCTAACCGTCTTCAGAACAACTCTCCACTGGGCTAGGCTCTCTTAATATAGGAGGTGTCCTTACTTTATCATACTTCCATTTCTTTCTTTTAAGCAACCTTTCATTCACACTTGGCATGGCATAGTCCTGATGAGAGTAAATTCCTGGAGGGAAGTTGTGCCATAAAGCTCTTCGAGGATGTCTGGGTCCTTGTCAGTTCCTCTAAAATCGATCTTCAGTATCTTACGGGGCATTGAAGTGAAGCAGAGGTTCATCTTCTCTTAATTTTCCCACAACTTCACCGTCAGAGATGTAAACATATTGTTTGACTTCATAGAACAAGATGTGAGATATTATACACAGACTGTGAAACTGACTTTCTCTTTGGGTCAAAGGAAATGCTTAAGGAGAGTTTGCAGCACAAGAAGGGGAAATTATTTGAAAAGACTAGGGCCCCCATATTCCTCCCTTCCAATTGGACACTGGTGAGGAGAGGGAAGGGGTGGTCTGTTCTAGGCATTTGATTAAAGAGCAGGCATTGACAAGAATGTCTCTGTAGTGTCTTGAGAAACAGTGAGCAGGGGCTTTTCACATATAAATGAATTCATCATATTACTAGATTCCTTGTCCAGGGGAAAATCCTGGAGGTTCTCAGTTGTGGGCCCATAAACTACATACACCACCAACATATACCGCAGGGGAGATGCCAAGGTGGGATTTTAGAATGTCTGCATTGCCACCAAGCCCAGGGACAGTGGGTATCCATGTATAACCTCTCAAGAACAGGGATACTTCTTTAGCTCTAAGGTAAATCAAGTGACATTTGCAAACTTAAATATCTGGGTTAATGCTTCTATGGACTGGATGTAAGAAGCAAGGCATTTAATATGGCTTTTATGGCAAGGCATTTAATAATCCCATCGCCATCAGGTCAGTGTAACTATTAGTGATCTTGTATGGCAGAGTATCACTGCTCCCCAGAATTTCCAAGACTAAATATTTACAGGAGCAGGAACAGAAAACCTCATATTTCTCCAGAGGATCAGTTGGTTGGTGTCAGATATCCCAGCCACTGTGCCACCAAGGTTTTTAAAACCAAACCAGATAAAATCTGCTTCATATAACTAGTTCTGACTCACTGTGGCCCTATTTAGGGTTTCTAAGGCTCTACAGTTTTAGAGCAGCAGACAGCCTCATGTTTATCTTGACTGCAAGGGCTGGTGGGTTGCAACCAGGACTGCTAGTATGGAAAAAAAAACACTCTAAAAGTCAAAACTACTTCTTAGTCTCAGGAGAAAAAGGCACAAGAGTGGAAAACAATAATAAGTTGTTGTAATTTTACCACATGGAATGTGTACATAGCTCCTGCCCATCAATTATAAGAGAACATGGTTACTTTTATTTATCCAGAGTGATTCCTTCCTTTTAGCAATGATGTTCTTGGAAGGAACACTTCATGTATGTGCTCTTCCTTATGAGCAGAAACACTCCTGCTTATCAACTCTGCTTTGAGAATGGAGGCTGGGGTAGAACCTCTAACCTATGGCGGCATTTAGAGCTCCAAATGGTAGCAGGGCTAGTTTAGCTTGCAGTGTCATACACCACCATTACCATGCAGTGGACACATTTCAAAGATGGATACTTGCCAGGTAATAGCATACTTCCACTAGTTAATATTTTGGTCAGAAATAATAACTCCACTGGCAGCAGCTGTCTTTCTTATAGATTGGAACACATTGTAGCAAATGCCATTTGAATGCATTGAATCTTCTGCTTGATTTGGGAGGACATGCCCCTCTCTGACTTTAGAAATGATCCTTTCATTTTCCTCCTCTGTCTGTCATTCATCCTAGCCATCATGTCCACCAGGTCCCAAAGCAGAACAACATATGTGTCAGGGCTTGTCAAATGCAGTGTGGAATAAAGTAATGCCCATTAATGCAGCTTAAAAAATAATTTTTAAAGGTTTGCTTCCACCTCATGCCTCCTCCTGCCCACCCAATCTGAATCATTCAACAGACAACCTTTAGTAAAATGTTATTTTCTAGGAAGGATTCTGAGAATGAAAAAAAGGGGCTATGAAGAGGTGATAACAAAGAGCCTGAGGTGGCCAGGAAATGCTTGCTGAACTAAATGTTTATTAGATTATCTAAGTTATGAGCATGCTATTATGGATTAAGACCAGAGACCAAGAACATTACAAGGAAGGAATGCTTCCAGAGGTATGTCATCAGTCTGGGAAGGACACTTTGCAAGAAGGAATAGGACAGTAGAGCAAATAGATCAGTGATCTGGGAAAGACACCGACAGGAAGGATCAGAGCACTGAGGAGTGTGAGCTCCTACCAGAATCAAGCTTTGGAAAGAGAAGTGTCTTGGCTGACCTCCTCAACGATACCTAGTGCCAGGAACAGTGTATGACAGTTTACAGAGCAATTAGTAATTAAAAAAATAAATTACTATGCAAATGCACTAACACTGATCCTGGGAAAATATGGCCACCTGGCCAGAGGCTTTGTAACCCCATCCCCAGACAAAACTGGCTGGTGTTGCACAATAAACTAAAAACTCTGACTTCTAAATTTCCATGAAAGAACACAAACCTGTTCTGGATATAGCGAGGGAATTCAGAGGGAGGAAGCAAATTCAAAGGACATTGTCCCCAAGGAAAGTCATGTATTCTTGACTGCTTGGATAGGATGCCCACAGAGCTGCCTCTCAAGACCTCAGCAGAGGGAGTAGGGGAAAGGTGAGCTGATGCACTGTCTCCACACCACCCTGGCTGCCATCAACGCCACTGAAGACAGTAGTAGCTCTCTCCCCCAACATATTTGGGGATGGAGTGGGCCTGTGCTGAGGAGGGGGAAACATGATTGAAGTCAGATGGTAAAATTCACTCGCTCCTCACAGCCCTAGAGTTGAGAAAGACACAGCCCATACATAGCATTTCTATTAGATAGAAATGAGTTAAATCAACTGGGGTCTCACTCTGGATACCCATCTAGATCCCTTAGGATTGGCTCTGGTCTGACAAAAACAATGGCACCTCTCCCTTATCATACCTTGGGGACAAACCAGAGAGATAAACCAAACGAAGTGTACCTGATTGGGGGAAAACTAGCATAATAAAGTTTAAGCCTTATTTCTCTCTCAGTGGATCTAGGGTTTAAAAATATATAGTCTGTCTGTCAAACCATGATTAGAAGTAAGAAAACAGATCTGGAGTCCAGTTCTGATGTGGAAAGTCAGGGAAGAATACAGTTGGGTGGGTGGGCAAAGGGTCTTAGACAATATTTTCTCCTCATGATAGTTGTATTGATCATTGGCCTGCACTACCTGAAAAACGTGGAAGCTATCTTCAAAATCAAGACACTGATATGGGGCAATGTTTAACTGATTCCTGGCATCAACCCTTGTTTGGGATAGGCTTGTGCCACATGAGCTGGCCATCGTTGGCTCTTCGGAAACTAAAACAGTTGTGCAGGGGTGCTGTTCATTACAAAAACAAGTATATATTTTAAATATTATAATTAAAATTTTTGTCTAAGAAGAAACAGGCAATCTTTACACACATGAGACAACAAGAAAAATGGCAAAATTGATTGGAATATACGTAGATCCAGAGGAAGTCTTGCTTGAAGATCAAGCTTTAGGTCTTCAATTGATGGAGTTTAGGAGAATTATCTTCAACTGCTTTAAAGGAATGGAGGAAAATATGGACAGAGATACATGAAAAAAGCATAAAAGAATATAGACGAACTCAGGAAAGCACTACAGGAACAATATGACAAAATAAACAAAAAGCTAGTAATGGTTCAAGAGCTACAAGTAGGAATTCATAGGCAAATAGTAATATATTAGAACTGGATAACATTTTTGAAAGAAAAAAAAGAATTGAAACAAAGGAAATATGAATCAGTGATCTCAAAATCAAATGTCTTGAGACCAAAACACAAAAAGACTAATCTATAAAAAAGACAAAAGAAGCTGAAGGGAACTTAATAATTCTATGAGACACTTTAAAAAGGAACAACTTACAGTTGCTACACATCCTAGAATAGGAAGAACTAAAAATAACCGCAGAGATAATAGTTGAAAAAATATTAAAAGCAAAATTCCCTAATATTATGACAGAACAGAAAATCTATGAATCCCAGAGAACCGCAAACAGAACTAACAAAAAAGAAATTCACTCCTTACCCACCCTTGTGGCACAATCGCTAAAGACAAAATGGGTGCATAAGCAAATGTGGTGAAGAGGATGGTGTCTGACTATCAAAAGATATACTGTCTTGGGTCTTAAAAGCTTGAAGTTAAACAAGCCTCCAACTAGCAGAGAAGCAACAAGCCCATATGGAAGAAGCACACCAGCTTGTGTGATCATGAGGTGTTGACAGGATTGAGTAACAGGCATTAGAAGACCCAAAACAAACAAACATATTGCTACGCTTGAAGGGGGTTAGAGCAGAGACCCCAAACCCATCTGTAGACAATGAGACATCCCCTCACAATAGGGTCTCAAGAAAGGGATGAGTCAACCAGGGTGCAGTATAGCACTGAAGAAACACACAATATTCCTCGGTTCTTTGAGGCTTCCTCAGCCCCCACTATCATGACCCCAGTAATGCCTTTCACTTTGGACTAGAACGGAGCATGTGCACAGGTACAGATAAGATATAAGAACTCACGACACATGGAATCCAGGACAGGAATGGGAGTAGGGATACCAGGAGGGAATGGGGAGGGGGGGAACCAATAGTAGCAATAGGCACATAACCACACACTACCCCCCAAGGGGACAAAGGAAAGAAACCATGGATGAAAGGAGACAGTGGTAGGTGTAAGGTATGCAAATAATAATAATTTATCAAGGGGTCACTAGGGTCAGGGGGCAGGGAGTCAAAAAAGAGGAGCTGATACCAAGGACTCAATAGAAAGTAAATGTTTGGAAAATAATGATGGCAACATATGTACAAATATAGATTCGATGTATGGATTGTTGTAAGACCCCCAATAAAATGATCGTTTAATTTTAAAAAAAAGAAAGAAAAAGATTTCCCAGCCCTGAAAAAAGAAATTCACTCCTACACAGTATAGTCAAACTTTCTAATATCAAAAAAATTAAAGAATACTGATGGA